TCCCTCCTTTCCTTCCTTCCTTCCTTCCTCCCTCCCTCCCTCCCTCCTTCTCTCCCTCCCTCCCTTCCACCAGAATCCTGTTGTTTTCATCAGAATGACAAAACAATGTTGTGGTACCGTACAGTGGTGAAATCCAAATTTTTTTTACTACCAGTTCTGTGGGCGTGGCTTGGTGGATGTGGCAGGGGAAGGATACTGCAAAATCTCCAATCTCACCCCACTCCAGGGGGGAGGATATTGCAAAATCTCCATTCCCACCCCACTCCAGAGGGAAGGATATTGCGAAATTTCAATTCCCTCCCCACTCCTGGGGGAAGAATCTTGCAAAATCTCCATTCCCACCCCACTCTGGGGCCAGCCAGAGGTGGTATTTGCCAGTTCTCCAAACTACTCAAAATTTCCGCTACCGGTTCTCCAGAACCTGTCGGAACCTGCTGGATTTCACCCCTGGTACCGTACCACAAACTCCACTCTTTGCAGCATGCTTGCAACTTTGTGGTACATGGAGAAAAGGGGCAAGGCTTGTATTGTGACACCATGACACTGCTTTGTCACTCTGACCCTCACCTCACAGCTTTCTACAGATACCCTTCCTTCCTTCCTTCCTTCCTTCCTTCCTTCCTTCCTTCCTTCCTTCCTTCCTCCCTCCCTCCCTCCCTCCCTCCCTCCCTCCCTCCCTCCACACAAATTACATGCTATTTCAAGTGAGGTTTTGAAAATAACCTTCTATTCCTGCATATTTCTTCATGAAAACAGTATTTCACCCCAAGGCTACTACCATGTGCAAATGCTCAGATCTTTTGGACACTTGGCAAAAGGCATGTATGACCACAATTTCAGCTGTCAAGGTTCCAAGTAATACATCCCATTCAATAAGAACTCCGAGGCAGGCAAATTCCTCAAAGAACGTTTTATTGGGACCTATCAAATTGGCACAATCTTGGTGGAAAAACCTGCTTTCAGTTCCCGCCGGTTTTTCACCCAATTAGAAGTAAAACTGCGTCACTTCCCACCCAGAGTCTCCAGTCACATAGTCCAATCATCATGTAGTCCAGTTGCTAGGTGACTTCAGTCTCCACCTTTTGAACATCTGTCCCAGTGGTGGGTTGCCCCCTGTTCGCACTGGTTCTATAGGACCGGTAGTAAAACTGGCGGGAGGCTCCGCCCACCAACCCCGTCATCAGAACGCTTCTGTGCATTCGCGAGCACGCGAGCGCGCCCTCATTGCGAACCGGTAGTAAAGGTAAGTAGAACCCACCCTTGATCTGCCCGAACGTCCTTGATTCCCAGGGGAAAGCATTTTATTTAGGCTACAACACCCCAGCTATCTCTGCACCCCTCCCTCCCTGGCCCCTTAGCTCCAGGCTGTGTCAGCCCTGAAGCAGTGAGAAGAGAAACCTTCCTTGAAAAAAGCTACAAGGAGAAAATGGCCACAGTTAGGCCAACTTCAGGGTTGACAGCAGCATCCTGGAGTCATGCGACTGCAATTTTGTGACCTTCCCAACCAGCTGCTGACAAGCAAAGTCATGGGGGGGGGACCCAGGTTCATTTAACAACCGCATGATTTGTGTCACGGCGTTGATTTGCTCAACCACCGTAGCAAGAAAGGCGGTGACTTGCTTTACAACTACCTTACTTAGCAATGGAAATTCTGGCCCTAATTGCTGTTGTAAATCAAGGACTACTTGTTTTTAGTGGGCTCTTTAGCCTGGATCCTGATGTTTCTCAACCATGGCGATTCAAAGATGGATGGACTTCAACTCCCAGAATTCCCCTTCCTGGCTGGGGAATTCTGGGAGTTAAAGTCCACGCATCTTCAAGTTGCCAAAGTTTTTATTTATTTTATTTATTTATTTGTCGAGTACGTATTAGATAATATATATAAGTATAAGCATGCATTGAATACATAAAATAGATACAAGTAGAGGAAATATTAGGACAGGGACGGTAGGCACGCTGGTGCTCTCATGCACGCCTCTTACATACCTCTTAGGAATGGGGTGAGGTCAACAGTAGACAGTCTTAGGTTAAAATTTTGGGGCATTTGGGATGAAACCACAGAGTCAGGTAGTGCATTCCAGGCATCGACCACTCTGTTGCTGAAGTCGTATTTTCTGCAATCGAGTTTGGAATGGTTCACCTTGGGTTTGTATCTATTATTTTCTCATGTATTGTTGTGGTGGAAGCTGAAGTAGTCATTGACAGGTAGCAGATGATTTTATGAGCTATGCTTAGGTCATACCGAAGGCGGCGTAATTCTAAATTTTCTAAGTCCAAAATTTCAAGTCTGGCGGCATAGGCTATTTTGTTGCGAGCGGAGGAGTGGAGGACTCTTCTCGTGAAATATTTCTGGACACGTTCAATTGTATTAATGTCCGATATGCGAAACACTTGATCTGTCCCCTCAATACTCTTTGTCTTTTTATTTTTTTTTTTGCAGGGGTGGGGAGGGGGGTGTTCGAATTTTGCAAATGCGATTCCCCCCCCCTTGTTCTTTTTGGGAACGGAGGGAGATGTTTGGGAAGATTCTGACCTTCAACTCTGCAAGCATCCTAAAGTCTTCCAGGATTCGGTTTAGAGAACAGCCAAGGAAATGCCTGTGGGAAGATTATAGGCAGGAGACATAATGCAAAAGTCCTACGCGTGTTGCTTACTACCAATTGATATTCATGGGGTCTGTTTGTTCTCACCCTGGAGGTAATATCTAGCCAGCATGTCTATTAGCCATTGATAGCCTTCTCTTCTTTAATTTTGCCTAATCTCCTTTTCAAACTGTTTGGGTTCCGAACAGTTTAACTGTATCTCCTGGTAGTTAATTTCGTAGTTTAAATAAACATAGCGTCACTTCACTGTTTTATCATCTGTTCTGATTTTCCCAGCGGTTCGCTTCAGATGCCCCTTTTCTCTGCCCCTCCCTTCCCTCTGCCCTCCCTCCGGTTTTACGACCCCAAATGTTATAACCTGAAGTTTGTTGTGGCCGCTGGTTCACCGGGGCTGCAGATAGAGTTATAACTATCGTAAAATATCATCTGCTTTGATCTTTGGAGAGTGAAATTGGTCTTCCTTTTAGCTGCTGAAGGTGCATTCCAGACCTTTCAGTTTGAAAATTTACACTTTGCGTGCTACCCAAATTCTTTTCGGGAGAACAGAGTTGGAAGGAACTTTAGAGGTCTTCTAGTCCAGCTCTCTGTTCAAGCATGGAGTTGGATTAACAAATACAGCAATTAATTGGATAAATGTCCTAGATCAGTGATGGCTAACCTTTTTACCATTGGCATGCGATGGCACACGATGGCATGGTGGGCCCGGTAGGCCCATTTTTCCCTCTCCCCAGGCTCCAGATTGGAAACAACTGTTTCCAATCCCAAAAAGATAGGATAAATGGAGCCATCATCATTCAGTGTCATGGCCACACACTACACATCAGTCTTCTTATATTTTTGGTAGCCACTGTAAAAGCTAAGAGTATTCTTTATTTTTTTGCACCATCTTTAATTACCTTGAAACTCTTTTGCAAACTCCTACTTGGAAATTGTATGCTTTGTTGGATGCGTTCCCCAGTTGGATGCTCTTCAACCTTCGTTGACTGTTTTACACCAGCCGTCCAACATTCAAAGAAGATCACTCAATACCAGTGCAGAATTTTAACATCGGACACAATGTTGATGGACGCTTGTCCTTGCTCTAGTTTATTATCGCACGTAACCCGATATTACTTAGCATTACAATAGGAAGCATCTTCAGCAGAGGTGCCTAATTTCGTTGACCTTTTTTCTCCTTGAAATAATGGCCTAATGCACAGTGTTATTATATATTTCATTTTTGTACGCATTTGTTGCCACTCATTATCTAACTTCTCCTTTACCTTGGCCTATAACTTCCCCCCAAGTAGCAGCAACTTGACGAAGTACCATTGCTTATATTTCTCCAGCCTGCAAGAAGAATCATCTTAAGAAACTTGAGTGGACTTAGCTGGAAGCAGCAGCTCACAACTTCCTCCTGAAAAAAAAAATCTAGCCCTGTAAATTTTATATATTGTGAGCGTTGGTCTGCCTCCCTGTAGATGAACCATGATATAAGATGCCGGTTAGGGTTTCCCTCACCCCCCAATTATTTATTTATTTGTTCAACTTGTATGCCGCCTTTCTCCAGCATACACAATTAATTAATATTTTAAATCACTTTAGGATTCATTCACACAATCTCCTTTCTTTCTGATTCAACGTGCGGCTAAAAATGCTACTCACAGGCAGCGGTGAAATCCGACCGGATCAGACCGGATCTGTTTTACAGGGCATGATGAGAGACAATAACAGAGTCGGAAGGGTTCCTTGGAGATCTTCTACTCCAACCCTGCTCAAGCAGGAAACTCTGTAACAATTCAGACAAATAGAGAAGGAATGGCAGAACCTGGGGTCGGAGTTAAAAGAGGGATCAGTCTAGAATCCCTGCATAGCCACAAATGGACTAAGCCCAACCCCCTTGAATTCCATTGAGCCTGTTATCCAGTGGTGGGTTCCTCCCGGTTCGGTCCGGTTCAGCCGAGCCGGTAGCGGTGACTATATGACGTCACCGAACCGGTTCTCCCCCCCACCCCCCCACGTTATTCTTACCTTTTATTTGGTCCCACCCCCAATCTATTGCTGCCTCCTGAGTCCCAGCTGATGACTAGAGGGAAAAAAAACTGTTTAAACTCTTGCCGCGGGGCTTCAAAGGGCCGCCCTACAGCTGATCAGTGTTAAAAGCAAACAAATGAGTTGGGTCGTAAGTGTGAGGACTGGTTGTAAGTGCGAGGCCCTTCCAGAAATGACTCTGACCAGCCAGCCACGCCCACCTAGTCACATGACCTCCAAGCCACACCCACAAAATAAGCCACGCCCACAGAACCGGTAGTAAAAAAAATTAGAACCCACCCCTGCTGTTATCTAATTTTAAGCAGAAACTGTCCTTAGTTGAGAAGATTCTTATGCGTAGACTTTTTATTAGCAATAAATTAATTTAATTGCACCTTCATGTGTAAACATGGTCGCGCCTGACATATATTGGGCCATCCTGCAAAATAGGATTAGCCATATAAAAATGATTCCAAGTGGGTGGAAACGGAAGTAAATATTGGATGTTGCTTTAAGTATTTAATCTCAACCGAGTTTCAGTTTTAAAAGATGCCAGCAAAGCCTCCCCGAAACTTCCCGCGTACGTGGCTGCCGTTTGTCGAGAGCTGTACTTCCAGATCAGGATGCAGAAGACAGCCGCTGCCTTGCAAGAGTTACGATTTTGCAAATGGAAGGGCTTAAAACATCAAAATGTCTCTGCGAATTAGGATTTTACATTATCAGGTAGCTTTGGAAAAGTAATTGATCGTACGAAGAAAATGGAATGAAATGAAGAATCTCGGGTGACTCCCAGCGGGCTTATCAAATGCTTACCGTAGAGTCGTGATGGCGAACCCATGGCACGCGTGGCAAGCGTGCCATCGCCCCAGGTCAGATCTCTGTGGCGTTTCTTTCGTGAGCTTCTATTTCCCTGCAAACAACAAACCAGAAGCTCACAAAAGAAAAAGATCTTACCTCTTGCCGCGTTCCCGGTGTTGGGATGCCCCACCTCCCACCAGCCAGCTGGTCTTTGGGTCTCTGCTGCGCATGCGCCAGTGGTGGAATTCAATTGTTTTTACTACCGGTTCTATGGGTGTGGTTTGGCGGGTGTGGTGTGGCTTGGTGGGCATGGCAGGGGAAGGATACTGCAAAATCTCCATTCCCAGCCCACTCCTAGGGGAAGGATATTGCAAAATCTCCATTCCCAATCCACTCCTGGGGGGAGCATATTGCAAAATCTCCATTCACACCGCACTCCTGGGGGAAGGATACTGCAAAATCTCCACTCCCATGGAATTTGTGGGGGGTCTTTGGTGCCCTCTAAGCTTGGTTGTTTTCTTGTAGACATTTCATTACCAAACTAGGTAACATCATCAGTGTTAATAAGGGAGCAGGGAGAGCAAACCTTATTCCTTTTCTAGCACTGATGATGTTACCTACTTTGGTACTGAAATGTCTACAAAAAAACCACCAAGCAAAGAGCACTCCAAGGACCCCACATTTCAACCCTGAGCTACAAATATTCTCTTCTATCAGTACCATGGAATTTCTCCAGGAAGATTTTGTGCAGTCTTTCCTTGGTGGCTTTTAGATGCCAGCTTAATACAGAGTTATCTACAAGCTCTGTTAAGCCTCATCAATTAACTATGATTTGAAAAGTACAGTTTGCTTTTCTATAATCCCCCAAAAGGCAGAAACCAAGATTTCAGTAGATGCTGTGTGTGGTTTCCTTTTCAGTCTTTTCTTGGGTACTGCTTCTTCACATTGTCGTTTGTTTGTTTGTTTGTTGGTCTCATCTGTTGTTTTTGTTGTGCCTTTCTGTGACTGTCAACTGCCTTATGGTTCCATATGGATAAAAAGGAGGGAAACCAGTATATGAAATGCCTAAATAAACATCAGCAAATAAAGATTTTTTTTTCACCCCTTCCCAATAAGCTTCCCTTCAGTTATCTGAATAAGAGCCGAGGTAGTGCAGTGGTTAGAGTGCTGTACTGCAGCTACTTCAGCTGACTGCTAGTTCAGCAGATCAGCGGATCAAATCTCACCGGCTCAAGGTTGACTCAGCCTTCCATCCTTCCGAGGTGGGTACAATGAGGACCCAGATTGTTGGAGGCAATATGCTATTTAGCATACTGTCTTTGGTGTAAGCCACCCAGAGCCCTCGGAGAATGGGTGGCATAGAAATATTATTATTATTATTATTATTATTATTATTATTATTATTATTATTATTATTATTAATAATAATAATAATAATCTTCCTCTGCACAGCTAATTATATATACTGTATTTTTCGGTATAAGACGTACCTTTTCCCCCCCCAAAAAAGAGAGTGAAAATCAGGGTGCGTCTTATACTCCGAATGCAGCCCCTCCCAGCTTCTCAAACGGAGGTTTCAGAGGCTGAAAAAAGCATCAGAAACGAAGCTTCAGAAAAAAGCCCCCAAACAGAGCTTCAGAGGCTTTTTTCTTTTTTTTTAATTATAAAGTTTTTATTTTTATTTTTCATAAACACATTTACATGTACAGTCATTTCCATCATTTTTCATTCATCTTTTCTTTTAACTTTCATTTTTAATTTTTACTTTTTCGGAGCTGCTCTTTTACCCTTTACCTTTACTCCAGCCTTTCTTCTTCTCCTCCCCTTCTCTTCCTTCCTGTTTCTCCTCCTACTTCCTTCATTCTTCCTCTCCTTCTCTTTGCTACTTCCCCTTTTCTTCCCCCACTCCTCTCTTCTTCCCCCCTTCTAACCTTCTCCGCTACTCCTCTTTCCCCTCCCTCTTCTTCCTCTCCTTTTCCCTTTCTTCTTCTCTCCTCTCCTCTCTTTTCCCTTCCTCTCTCTCTCTACTCCTTCCCCTCTCTCCTGTTGTTTCCCCTTTCAGTTCAATCTAAAATGGTACTCGAGCAGCCCCAATTTCCTAATTATCTTTATTCTCCTTTCAATTTCTTATTCAAATTGAATACGAAGCTTTTTTTTCTGAAGCTCTGTTTCGGAGGCTTTCGGAGGCAGGAAAAACAGTTTTTTTCTGAAACAGAGTTTCAGAAGTTTCAGAGGCAGAAAAAAAAAGCAAAAAAAAAAAAAAAGCAAGGCACAGAGCTCACAATCAAGGAACCTGTTGCTAAAATTCACCTCTGGGAACAGCTGATTGGCGGTATTCCGGGAGGCCAATCCACCTGCCAATCAGCTGTTTTCCTATTTTCCTCCCCAAAAACTAAGTTGCGTCTTATACTCCGAAAAATATGGTATATTTAAAAAAAATGGGGCCTGAAATCCCAACACTCAAAAGATGGTGCATCTTCCATCACCAGCACAGACCCGTATCTATCTAATAGTATATAGGTAGTCCTCAACTTACAACACAATTGGGACTAGAACTTCGATCGCTAAGCGATATGGTCACTGAATAAGTCATACCCTATTTTACTACCATTTTGGCCACAGTCGTTAAGTGAATCTTGCTTCCTTCATTGGCTTTGCTTATTGGAAGCCTCCTGGGACGGTTGCAAATGGTAATCACGTGACCTCGGGATGCTCCAATCTCGTAAATACATGCCAGTTTCCAACAGCGTGAATTTTTATCACGTGATCACATGGTTGCTGGGCCGGTCGTCAGTACAAAGTCCGGTCGTAAGTCACTTTTTTCCACCGCTGTCATAACTTTGAACAGTCGTTAAGCAAACGGTTGTAAGTCGAGGACTATGTCTATTTTAAAAGGGGGGGGGATTTCTGAACTGGGAATAGGTCCTCTAGCTGACCAGCTTCTGTTATTGTTATTTTGCAGCAATTGTACGCCGCACAACTTGCAGCCATGCAAGTATCTCCTGGTGGAAAACTCTCCGGCATTCCCCAAAGCAACATGGGTGCAGCAATATCGCCTACCAATATTCACACTGACAAGATCACAAGCAGCCCACCCCCCAAAACCAAGGTAATGCGTTAAGAGTTCAGCTTCCATGCTTTCTCATAAAGCACGTGTCGCATATTAATGGGATTTATGCATGCTATGGATGGAAATAATTCAGGTCTTAGGTCTTGTAAGGTCCTATAAGACTTAGGTTTTAGTCTTATGTCGAGGATATTTACCCATGTAGTATGGCTGTATTACTATTAACCTCCTTATTTTTTCTACAACCTTCTGTTATTGGTATCTTATGATTATATTGCCTTGTTTCTATGTACACTGAGAGCTTATGCACCGGAAACATCTCTTCTCTTCTCTTCTCTTCTCTTCTCTTCTCTTCTCTTCTCTTCTCTTCTCTTCTCTTCTCTTCTCTTCTCTTCCCTTCCCTTCCCTTCCCTTCCCTTCCCTTCCCTTCCCTCCTCCCCTCCCCTCCCCTCCCCTCCCCTCCTCTTCCATACATCCATTCATTTGATACATTCTCTTCTCTCCTCTTCTTCATCTATCCATCCATCCACCCATTCATCCATCTGATCTCTCCTCTCCTCCCCTCCCCTCCCCTCCTCTTTCATTCATTTCATTTCATTTAATACATTCTCTTCTCTCCTCTTCTTCATCCATCCATCCATCCATCCATCCATCTGATCTCTTCTCTTCTCTCCTCTCCTCCCCTCCTCTTTCATACATCCATTCATTTGATACATTCTCTTCTCTCCTCTTCTTCATCTATCCATCCATCCATCTGATCTCTTCTCTTCTTCCTCTCTCCTCTTTCATACATTCTTCCATTTGATACATTCTCTTTTCTCCTCTTCTTAATCCATCCATCTATCCATCCATCTGATCTCTTCTCTCCTCTCTCTCCTCTCCCCCCTCCTCTTTCATACATTCTTCCATTTGATGCATTCTCTTCTCTCCTCTTCTTCATCCATCCATCCATCCATCTGATCTCTTCTCTTCTCTTCTCTCCTCTCCTCCCCTCCTCTTTCATACATCCTTCCATTTGATATATTCTCTTCTCTCCTGTTCTTCATCTATCCATCCATCCATCTGATCTCTTCTCCTCTCCTTTCCTCTTTCATACATCCATCAATTTCATACATTCTCTTCTCTCCTCCTCTTCTTTATCCATCCATCCATCCATCCATCTGATCTCTTCTCTTCTCTTCTCTTCTCTTCTCTTCTCTTCTCTTCTCTTCTCTTCTCTTCTCTCTTCCTCTCCTCTCCTCTCCTCTCCTCTCTCTCCCTCTCCTCTCCTCTCCTCTCTCCCATTCCATTCCATTCCATTCCATTCCATTCTATACCAATTTCAGGTGAACAGAAAGGCTATGGCTATGAAAAAAAAATCTCTTTGGCATTCTGATTGGTGACTACCGGTTGTCAGACCTGCCACAGTTTAAACTCCAAAATAGAAATGATCCTTGGCTCCATTTGTTGAGAAAAGCATCGTTCTATTAGAAGTCAAGCGTATTGCAATAATGCAAAGCCAGAACTGAGAATCGTACGCCCAAATCCCTAAGGTCCACTTTTCTCCCCTTTGCTACCTCCCACTACCCTAACCAACCAATGGGGTTCAGGCAATGTTTTCATAACAGACAGTCATAGGCACAGTGTGGCATGCAGCTGGTATGCCAGGTGACCTTGAAGCAGCTTCTTGAGTAGATACAGCACTTACTTTCGTTTTCCCCCAAGCCTTCCACGTTACAACTCTCCCAACCCAGAGTCCATGACAGTCTGTCACCGAATAGAAGCGAAGCACAAGCAGGCGTGAGGTGGCAGCTGACACCGGTAGAATAGCAGTTATTAGAAATCACCAAAACACCTATTGCAACTTAAGTTTGCACAAAAGCAATATGGATTTTTGCATTGTATGGATTCTCTACACTGCTACAACTGAAGCAGGGCTTATAAACCGTCTCATTCGGCATCTGCTTTATTCAGGAAATCCAGAATGAAAGCGTTCAAGAGGGATAATTCTTCAAGTCTACTTTTATTTATTTATTTATTTATTTATTTATTTTTAAATTTGTATACCGCCCTTCTCCCTGAGGACTCAGAGCGGTGAACAGCCAAGTAAAAGCATAAACTACAAACATTAAAATACAATTAAAAAGATATATATAAATTTGGCCCCATGATTAAAAACAATAACAAACAATTAAAAACATTTTAAAAAGTGTTAGGCCAGCCCGGCTTGCTGGAAAAAGAAGGTTTTAAGGGCACGGCGGAAGGCACCGAGGTCTTTTAGTCTTCCATCAAAATAAACCTTAATAGCCTTCAGGTAATTGGCAAGGTCAGGCTGCTCTTATCATCCAGATGTTCCCCCTGATGTTCTACTAAAATTTATCTCCCTGTAACTTAACTCCAGTTAAATTTAATTCACACTTTTGGGATAGAACAACTGTTTGCTTTCTCCCCCCTCCCCCTCCCAATATTATAGCCTTTTAGGTTTCTGAGAAACACTATTTTATTCCTCCATTTTTCTTCTTTAGGGTGAGGTTATTTGCCAATTAACTAGGCAGGCTCAATGATTTAGGAAAACTGGATACAAAAGGACAATATACAAAACTGCATCAATGAATGGATGTATGCATACACACATTCACAGAGAATTTCTCTCACACAGAGAGAGAGGGGGGGAGGGAGGGAGGGAGAGAGAGAGAGAGAGAGAGAGAGAGAGGAGAAAAAATTGGAGTTAGAAATGCATACAGTTTCCACATAAATCTTAAACAAAATATTTGCAAAGTGATACAGAACAGGTCAAAATGAATATATATATGTTTTCTGAGGTTTTCGCAGGTGTTTGTATGTAGGTCTTTGGTTATTCGGGTTTTCTCCCACGTAAAATTGGAGGTGTCTTGGCGACGTTTCGACGAAGTCTCATTCGTCATCTTCAGGCTGGTGTCTTCGGCTTCTTTTTGCTCCTAGAAGCACGAAGCCGACGACACCAGCCTGAAGATGACGAATGAGACTTCGTCGAAACGTTGCCAAGACACCTCCAATTTTACGCGGGAGAAAACCCGAATATATATATGCAGAGGGAATCAATAGAGCGTGCAGAGGTTAGAGTTTTGTTACGGTGTGTTTGAGTTCAGATAATTTACTATCTAGACATACATTTTCAAAAATGAATATCAGGTCAAAGATGGTTCAAAATGTATTTCTTTCCATAAGACAAAGGATCCGTTTGCACTAGCACAGGGCTGTCTTCAGAACCAACTCACATTTTGAAGTACTGATTGTCCTTATTTAGTGACTACCTCATTTAGCGGCAGTTACCACAATGAGCAAACAGTAACTTTGCAAGGAATTCTCAGCTAACCTTTTCTGGTCCATAAAGGAAAGGAAAGCTGATGTAAGCTCATAAGCACAGTCACCGTTTCACTGAATGTCCACTACCTGTATTTGGTGGAATGACCATGTGAAAATATTGGAACATGTTCCCATGATCAGCTCAAGAAGTGTTGCAAAGAAGGAGCAGCTTTTGTCCAGAATTTCATACTACTACGTGTGCAAGACCTTTTGCCTGTGAAAAGAAAGGGCATCTTTCATATGTAAGCATTTATTTGTTCTGAGCAAGGACTAATGCTAGCTGGCTTCATTCCTCTTAGCAATTGTCTCTCAACCACTAGGAGAGAAGCTGCTAACATCTGTTTTCTGTATTGGACAAAAATAGAGAGTCAATCCATGCAAGATGTTTGCTGTATGATTGGCCTTGGCATATAACACAGACAGAGAGATGTTAAGATGGATGGATGGGTGGATGGATGGATGGATGGATGGATGGATGGATGGGTGGGTGGGTGGATGGATGGATGGATGATGAAGAATTGATGGATGATAGATGGATGGATGGATGGATGATGGAGAATTGATGGATGGATGGAGGATGGATGGATGATTGGGTGGGTGGATGGATGATTGGGTGGATGGATAGATGAAGAATTGATGGATGATGGATGGATGGATGAAAGTAGATAAATGATGGATGGGTGGATGGATGGATGATTGGATGGATGGATGATGAAGGATGGGTGGGTGGGTGAATGATTGGGTGGATGGATGATTGGATGGATGGATGGATGATGAAGGATGAATGGATGGATGATGGATAGGTGGATGGATAGATGATGATGATGGATGGATGGATGGATGATGGATAGGTGGATGGATAGATGATGGATGATGAAGACTGGATGGATAGATGGAGTTAGCAGTCTCCACCAAGTGTGTGTGTTTTGTTTTTTTAAAAAAAAATCAATATAGCAGCCATAGTGGTACAAGTAAATCTCTGCCCACTTTTATACATATCATGTCTATGCAGCTTTAATCCCCATCTTGCCTTTTTTACCATGTCCTGTGGACACAAGAGAGAAGAGAACATACATACATACATACATACATACATACATACATACATACATACATACATATGTCTAGCATTTGGTGTAGAAAATAAGGAGAGGCAGCCCAGGTGGAACAATGACTTGGGCGAGGGGGTCTTTTTCTCCTTAAGCCAATTCTCCAAGGATCACTTTCCATATTACAGCCAGCAGCAGATACTGAGAGTTCCAATAAGTTCCACCAAACTTTGCTAAGAAAAAAAAGTTTGAACCCTCTACCCATATATATTGGCCTAGTTGCCCGTGTTAAGGGGGTGGGGGGGAAGGAAGATAAACTATGTCATATTTCTTTTAGCCCTTATTTGGGGGGATTTGGGGATTACAGTATTGACTTGATAATGTTCACAATAACTCAAATGCCAAAAGAAAGGAAGATTTTTTTTCCCCCCCCATTCACAATGACTGGAAATACGTTGCCGTCGTTCCTCTTTCTCTCCTTTTCCTTCCTGGGGGAGGAAAATCTATTCCCCTTTTTCTGAGTTTCACTCCTGCCAAGAGACGATTTGCAGAATTGAGCTGCAAAGAAAAGGCAGGGAAAGAGTGGCGGGCCTGTTTGTATGTGTGCGCCTGTGTGTGTGAATGACGGGGGCCATCCAAACGGCTGTAAAATTGTGCAGCATGGTCCCT